ATTTGTATGTAACACATCCCAATACTTGTTCTTCATTCTTTTTTTTTCCTCTCATTGAATTTATTGGTACATTTTAGGTATACAGTAGAGTTACATTCATCGTTGGGATCTTGTAACTTTACATGACAGATCTTGGTTCTCATTTTTTCCCCTTGTCCCTGCCCTCCCTTCACCTGCTTCTACCCTCCCCATTTACAAACACTTTATTTCCATTTTTTCATTTTCTTATATTTTTTACTTTTTCCTTATTACCCCTATCCTTTGCACTCTCTATTCTTCATTCTTAATCCCTTCTGTCCTTCTGCCCTCTCTCCATCTCGATTCCCTTCTGCATTCAGAATGACCTATCTGCCTAGTTTCTATTATCTTTTATTTTGCTGTTTATTTTTACTCCAAGTTTCTCATATAAGAAAAGCTACACAATATTTAACCTTGTGTTTCTGATTTATATCAATTAACATTATATTCTCAAGGTACTTCCATTTGCCTATAAATGACTCAAGTTATTGAAGTGGATTCTAGATAAGAGAGTTGTGCCCATTGGCCCAAAACAAGGAAAATGAAAAGGTCTCTTTTGCTATGTTGAGCAGACTTCTATAGGCCACAGGAGCTGAGAGAATTCCTTTGATCCAAATGAAGCCAGTTACAGTTCAGGAAGACTTGTAACATGGCTCCATTTATAAAGCTCTCTCCACATAAGAATGAGGGAGCAAAAGAGAAAGTGGAAATTGTTCTGCAAGAAACAACATGAATAAACATGAGGTAAAGCTGATTGCAAGAATGAGGGGACCCAGGCATGGGAACACATGGGGATGTAGAAGCCCAGTGATGAATCAGAAAGGATGGACAGGTTTCTCCCTGAACATCATGGCTCATTCGAAGTATTGATCTTTTCCTTCAAGGTAAGATGCAAAGTATGACTTCTTCCAGCCTTTCCTCTCTCCCAACTTCCTGCATCCTCACAGACTGTAGATCACATGTTCACAGCCTTTCTATTTCTTGTCCTTACTCCCCCTCTCAGGTTCTGTTTCTTTCTGGCCCTTAGCCTGTTCTCTTCCAGATCCTTATTGTGCAGTGCATTTTAACATCTCTGATTCTTTTTTTTTTTTTTTCATATGAGAGATTTTATTAAAGAGCCGCGGTGGCACAGTGGTCTGCAGAGAGAGAGAGAGAGGGAGAGGGAGAGGGAGAGGGAGAGAGGGGGGAAGGGAGGGAGAGATAGAGAGGGCCTTGGTTATATAGTGGGTGACTAGTCTGGGCAGGTCGGAGAACATCTCTGCTTCTCTTCTATCCTGCCTTCTGTTCTTGTCCCCTTACTTTAAAAAATCTAAAAGGGTAATGCCAAAGTACAGCCCCAGTCTACCCTCACAGGCTATGGCGCAAAGGACCAGGGGCTTCTCAACTCTCCTCAGCCCTGACCCTCCGTCTGGCCATGGAACACCACACCTGGCTCTGAGGAGCGCAAGGACGTGGAGGAGGGGCTGAGTTAGAAAAAAAATCATGAGAACACGGAGAAGAACCTAACACATAGTGACACAGAGTCAGTTTCTTACAAGGGGCACCAAACAGCATTTAACATGGATGGGGTCACTGTAAACCTGGCGAGTTCATTCAGTGATCTGAGGGAATAAGCAGACAGTTCACATGCAGTAGGTGAGGTAAGAAAGCATGAGGACAGGACTTAGTTACATAAAGTCATCCACAGTAGTGTGGTAGGATGTCCCCATAGAATATCAAGCCATCACTGGGTTGAGCCCTTAGAACAAGTGTTGGTAATCAGGTCACAGCCAGTGGCAAGTTACCCACGCTGTAGGCATGTGCCTGGTGCCCTCAGCTTCTGGGTTTTAAGGATTCACTCACTGGTTTGCACCAATAAACCTGATTGGCTCCCGTCCTGTATGCTATATGTTGTGGCTATAGCCTTGAGCCCAAAAGAACAAATTACTGGGGCATTATGGAGCATGTTCTCTTACCATTTCCCTGAGCTTCCTTATTCATAGCTCACTAGCTCCTAAGAGAGAAAGGGTTAGAGGGAGTTATCAAAGCTCCTGGACCCTGTTAAAAAGCATCATTGCAAAGCAACCCACATCTGTGGGAATCTCTGTGGACATCACCAATTGTCATGAGAGATGCATGAGCCATGGAGTTCCCAACCTCTCACTGATCCTCCACTTCACAACAATGTGAAGTTAGAGAATCTCAGCTCTTGTAGTCCATGAGACTAGAAGAAAGGGCCAACAGAGGAGAAGAGAGATGGTTTGAAACAATGTCTTTGTGAGGTCCCAGAAAGAAAATCAAACAAAAGAAACAAGGCAATGAGAAGAGAGGGCCTCAGGGAGAGAACACTGCCCATCCTCACTGGGTCACATTCCAGGACTCAGCAGACCTGAGATGAGAATAGCATGTGAGGAAACCACGTGAGGCCTTGAAAATGATCCTCCCCTCACGAGGCTGCAGGGCAAGTTACCTAGCTGGCCAGGAAATGAGATCTCTGTGGCCAACCACACCCACTGAAATGAGGAGGACAGAAACACTCATCCCTCAGCGGACACCTGCAGTGCCCTCAGGAGGTCTTGCCTGCACCCCGTGGAAACATTTCTCTAACAATAAGAGCTGCCATGAATCCCCACAGCTCATTCTCAAAGTAGGACTCAGAAAGATCAAACCTTTACGATATCACCCCAACAACATCTCAGAACACTGTTCATGGATACTTCTAGTAGTACAGTTGTTCCCACCAGGCAAGGAAAGCAGTGGATGTGAAATCCAACCAAAAACTACTAGAGATACAAAGCAGCAAGAAAATGCAGCCCTTCCTGAGGAGAGACATCAGTGAACAGAAGGCATCCAGGTTGGAAAGGAAGGGAAAAGGCTGCCTTTTTTGCACACATGATAACCTATGAAGAAAACCTGTTAAATCTGCACTGCTTAGACATAGTGTGAGCTCAACACGTTTCAGGACGCAATGAATTTCACAGAGTTCCTATAAGGACATTTGCAGATTAAGTCTAAGAGGCTGAATTCTTCCTATTGAAGAGATTCTTCCTCTTGCTACAGCATTTACTGGAGAGAAATTGTAAGTTCTTTCTCTATGTCTGAAAAGGATATAAACGTTTCTCAAAGCTAAGAGAAGGTAGAGGGCCTCTTCCAACCCTTTTGACAAAGTCAGGTCTTTTTCTAGGACCTAGGAACCATCTCTTTGAAATGTAAGGAGCAGGGGAGACAATGCCCCTACCCTCCATATTCTGTGGGAGTTCAGAAGCCTTACTTCAGTGGTCTCCTCCCTCCAGGAGGCTAAACTGGCTCCTGTCATAAAAGAGGCATTCTGTAGATTTAGCAGCTCCCTCTAGGAACGCAGTGAGTGTGTACTGCAACCATGCACGAATAAAAATAAAAAATAAAACAGGAAAGATGCGTTGAGTTTCCTTTTGATAAATAAATTGTATTTAATCTGCTCAGGGAGCCATACCAATACCTCTGGCTGTTTGCTCAGACATGGGGGACTTCGTTTCTCACTGTTCTGGAGGCTGCAAGTCTGTGATGAAAGTGCCTGGAAACTCTTTCTGGTGAGGGCTCTGCTGGGTTCCTACAGCCAGCCACGTTCTGACTGTGTCCTCACAGGGCCTTTCCCCAGCACCTGTGCCCTGAGAGGGCACCAGAGTGCCTGCCTTTTCTTAAAAGGATAACGATCATACTGCATCAGAGTAGCAAACTCAGAGCCTCATTTGAACTCAACCAGCCCCCAGAGAGGCAGTCTCCACGGATGACTGCAGGGTACATTGATTCAGGACAGGAATGTGTAATTTGTGTGAGGAGACAGACACTCAGCCCCTAACACCAACTGCCAATAGAGACATGGTCAGCCAGTCAGGGTGCACCCTGCGGACACACTATGTGTGTGGGATGCGCTGTCCAGCCTGTCCTTCCTGAGGGTGTGTATGGAGAAGGTGCCTCTTCCTGGCTGCACAAAAGGGGGAGGGGAGGATTCCTGCTGCCCTGTGCAGTCTCTTAGGAGACCCAGCCCCAGTGACCCAGCCCCAGTGATGTGCACCCTGTTCAACAGTAATACTGCTTTGTATTTTGTGCAGAGGTGTTCTGGCTGCGTTGCCAGGTGATTTTCCTTCTAAGTATTTTCCCAACACTATAGCCATTCCCCGCTCAAATACTCAACTCACTAAGGGCCCAACAGTTCCTCTTCACTGATCTGACACAGGGAAAGTAAGCCACAGACATTTTTCCAGTTTTTCTGGCTTGATTGCTGTTCTCAAGTGAAGTAAGGTTACTTTTTTGTAATTTATCCTGTCTATTTATTTGACTTTGTACCAAGAAAAGGACCCAGTGATAAAGCAGTGACAAAGTTGTGACAAAACGAGCATTCTCAAGGGAGGGCCCAATTCCTGGAGAGAAATTTTGTATTGTAGATTCAGAGCCACAACTAATAATTGGACAAGTAAATCAAGTGTTTCTGTGACTTGGAATCAGTTGTAAGCAAACCACCAGTGGTACAGTGACAGATATACAGGAATACGTATGAATCCTCATCCAACCTGGGTGGGGGTAGAAGGACAGTGGGGGAAATTGAGTACATTAAATGTCCAATTAATATGCGAATGCGTTTATTCTTTGCTTCTATACAATAACATAGTTTGAATAATTTTTAGAAAGAGCTCAAGCTTATGTTACATGGAAATATTTCAGAGAAAAGTCTAATGTTAGACTTGCCAATGAAATCATTTACATATATGCAATTGCTATACATTTCATGTATGAGTTTAACTCTCAAACTACAAATGTGTTTCAAAGTGCTCAGGGTAGTTAATGCTGAATGAAAAGACCTAATTGATTTTCATGTTATTCTGTTTCCTGTATTGTCTTCAATTATTTTGTCTGTTTAAACCCCAGAACTCCCCTCTCCCAAGGACAAAGGCAAGGAAATCAGGAAGAGCAATTGCTGAAAAGAATCTCAGACAAGGAAGAGCAATCCGTTTTATTTTCAGCATGAACAAACATTTACGCAACAGAGGGCCATCTAGAGAATTAAATAAAGTGTCAGGGCACCTCAGGAATCCCTACCCTAGGGAAGGATGGACTGCCTGGGGGGTGGGGGATACATGAAGAAAACCGAATCCTCTTTTCCAGCCAAAGCTTGTCCAGAGACTAAGTCTGGTAATTGCCAAATACGGGAATCACGGTGCAGAGCTGGTGCAGCAAGGCAGAAATACAAATCTCTAGAAGGTGGGAATTTTCCGCAATTAACAGGCTAAAGGGAAGGGAACACAAAATCACATCATCAATGCTCAGGCCTCTCCCTCTCTTCCCCTGCTGCCCCTCCACATAATCCTTCAGGCAAGAACAAGCTTCACACACCAAGCCCTCTCCATAGACTAAAGCTTGAGGTTCTTAACATGTCCCTCAGGGCATCTTAGTAAGAGACCGGCCCAGATACCTGTTGCCCCTTGCACCCAGGCGGCCTCTGGGCAGAACTTACATATTCAGGACTTTGCCATCCACAGTGATCTCCATGTGAACTCCTTCAGGAAGGGACCCAGCTACTGGGCTCAGGTGCAAGTAGGCAATCTCAGCATCCAAAGAATAGCAGAAAGGCACCGTGAGGTGCCTTGTGGAGACGTGGTTAAGGTGACTTTGTCCCTGAGATAACCTGCCTCTCAGCCCCGACGTCCCTTAGGCCACCCCAGACCCCTTACAGGCACCCTCTGGCCATCCTGCCCACACTGCCCCTCCTGGCCGCTCACCCCCAACACAGGCTCTGCCTCCCACCCCTTGGGTGCCCCTACTCTTCTCTGCCCAGTGGACGATGCCCCTGTGGGCTCTCAGCCCTCCCCCAGCCCAGCCCGTCCCTCAGAAAGGATACAACTCCAGTGGTTTCTGCTCAGTGACTCCGGCTGAGGCATCTCCACCCGGCACTGGTCCCTGTACCGCTCCCTCCCCTTGAGGATGTTCCCTGCCATTAGCACATTCTTCTCCTGCACCTTCCTGGCCTCCAACAAATGTAGGGTATGCAGGGCCACCTCCCACACGATTATCTCCATCGTGTCCTTCTGGACCACCCTCAGCATTAGCAGGGCCCTCCATGGTGGTCCCGCCTCTCACGCTCGAAGACAAGGTCCAGCACCTACCACAAGCCTGGCGTTCTGAGGACAAAAGGAGGGGTACGCGAAGGGCCTCAACATTCCCACCCACAATGCAACAGGCGATGCTCACTGCGCCTGCGCAGATGGGCCCTCAGCCTTAGGTTCCAGCCAATGGTGGAGTCTCCTTGAGCCCTGCACACCAACGTGGGCCCCTGGGGAGTCCCATGGGCTAGAGAGAGTTGTGGGGTTGTCAGGAGGATCTGCACCTTTCACGTAGGACACCTAGTACTCCAGAGAGCACAGGGCAAACAGGACAATAAACAGGCCTCCTGGGATATCTTCAGTTCCCACCTTTTAGTGCAGGGCTGTTTTTGCCGGGGGCTCCCGACTGGGAGGTATCTCTGTCTTCATGCACACTAAGAACGTGAAGCATGGCAGAACCAACCTCCACTCACCATCTTCCAAACAAAAGAGTCAGGAGTCCCAATTCTCAGAAAAGCCTGTTCCTCCATTTGTTTGTTTCTTTTTTTTTTTTCCCTCAACACCACACTTGGGTGTACAGTGTAGGGCAGGACCCTAGTCTTTCCACCAAAGTGACACAGAAAAACTAGGATGAATGAATGGAGGAAGGAGTTTTTTTTTTTTTTTTCCTCAACACCACACTTGGGTGTACAGTGTAGGGCAGGATCCTAGTCTTTCCACCAAAGTGACACAGAAAAACTAGGATGAATGAATGCAGGAAGGAGAGAAAGACAGAGGGGAGAGAGAGAGAGAGAGAGCGAGAGAGAGAGAGAGAGAGAGAGAGAGAGAGAGAGAGAGAGAGAGAGAGAGAAATTTGGGGGAGAAAGAGCAACTCCAGTAAGCAGAGGCAAATGATTTCATTGGGAAGACTAGAAGGAAATCTCACATAACTCTCAGCCATAGTGCCATTCTGCAGGGCCCAAAGGACCTCCCAAGTCTTTCCAAAAATATGGGACATGTCCACCACAATGAGAGGAAGCCACTCTTTGCTAAGCAGGGCTTTCACATTCAGAGCATGCATGGTGAGGTTAGAGACTCAGGCTGCCCTGCAATTTAGTAAATTTCAGAGTCCTTTTCTGAGTCTGGTTTTCTTGTCATCTCAAGACTTGTTTGTGTGCACTAAGACAGTTTGTGCAAGTCATGGAAAGGCATTAAGGGTTCCTTCTGATAATGTAAGCAGTGATGTCACGAGATGATCGGGGGACTTCCAGGCTCTCAGTGACCTGAGACTATGGGAAGCAAAGCCATCAGAATAACAACACTCTTTTTGAGTGCTTATATTCCTGAGAAAGAAAATGCAGTGGGGGAGCTGGGAGTGTGGCTCAGTGATGCACAGGGTCCTAGGTTCAATGTCTGGCAACACACACATACACACACACACACACACACACACACTATATGTCAGTAGACCACAACCATGCTCTTGTGGAGAGATCTGTCATTCATGGGTGTATCAACCATTGGAATTTTTCTCATTTCGCATGCACTCATTTATTGAAGTAAGTAGGTTTTTAACTGGAGCTGGAGGAAAAACATTAGCCAGCCCTCTGTATTCACTAAGGAGTAGAACGGAATATCCGAAAGCCACACAGAAATATGCCCATTACGGAATTCGGGAGGGAGAAAAAGTGCAACCCCAAACTCTCATTCATCATAAAACAGAGGTGTTTGTGAGCCCCACCACACCACCCTCACCATCTCCATTACCTCCTGATTGGCTTGCTCACCTAAGATGGCCAAAGAGGGCAGAGGATCCTGGAGCCATCCATTTCCCATCTCAGTCTCCATCCATTGTTTTGAGAACTCCAGCAATATCCCAACCTCAATACCTCCAGACTACTCCTGAGGCAGGTCTTCCACTTCCCCCAACTTATCTCCAACTGTACCGAAACTTGTTCAGTATTGTGAAGTGCTTACCCATGATATCCTTCCACCAGAGAAAGATGAAGGACAGTCTCCAACCATGTCTCCTTCTCCAGCAATCTCACATAGAACTGAAACAAAAGACACAGTTACAAATCGAGTTGGATATGCTCCAGTTATACAGTCACCAGCATCTGTAGTTTTTCCATCTACAAGGTCTACATTTGCATAATCACGAAAGCCTTCTGCGACAAGAGTGTCAAGATCTTCAGTTCAGTCAACACCAAGATCTCTCCTTTCATTACCATCAAGATATCCAACTCCATTAGCGAAATCATCAACCACACCTTTATCGGGACATTCAACTCTAAAATCTTCACAAAGTTCAGCTCCACTGTCATTATCTTCACATCCACGAGCATCACAATCTTCAATTCCACCAGGAAAACATTCATGTGCCCAGCCACCAAGACGTTCACTTGCCCAATCAAGGAGTGTAGGTGTACAGTCAACAAGATCTTCAATTGGTCCATGAGAAAGACCTTCAGTTGCACAATCAACAAGGCATTCGATTCCACTGCAACAAAGATCATCAAGTTCAATGTCCTCATGGTCTTCTGTGCCTCAGACACACTTTTCTTCTTCTACACAGTCACCATCATCTTGCCTTTCACGCCCTCAAGCTCTGTCATTGACCCAATCTTCAAAAGCTCCTGTTCTGGTGCAGAACAATCTTCATCAAGTCCATCAGGATTCAGTAGAACAAGTAGTGCCCTAGTGGAAGCAGTAAGAATAGGCATTCTGCCACACAATGCTGAAGATCAGTGTCTACGGAAAGCCAACATAGACATTTCTAAAGTGAAGCGAGTTCCATCTTGTTCTGTCAGAATTCGGTGGGATGCAATGCGGTAAATCAGAGAAGAAGGCCGGTTAAGTGGAGGGAAATGAGCAAATAAATAAATCCAATTGAAGTAAAAGTAACACTCAATTTTTTATCCCTTGATAATTAAGTCATTACTGATGATTTCTGTTTATTTCTTTAAAATAATCCGTTATCTGCTTATTTTATAAGA